AATACTATTGAGTATCTTGGACCTGACGAAAGGCTTATTGGACTTGACGACAACGTTTGCTTCACCGGTTCTGCTGCCTGGGGAACGGAAGGCTATAGTGCTACTGGGGACTCTGTCCTTTCGGCTAAAGTCTCCAGTTCGACCAAGTTTTCCGCCATAACTGCCGATGATAAACCTTCCACTACGGCTGGTAGTACTGCAGAGTCTCCAGCCAGCGGGTCACTTTCCGCGAATGTGGCGAACTACATCACCAAATGTGCGGGCTCTATCAAGAGCGCTCCAATAACCCTGGCCTCCGCCATTTCCGTGGTCAATTCTACTGTCGACAGTTCCAATAGCTCTATTTCCGCCTCCAGCTCCAGCTCCAGCTCCAGCTCTAGTACGCTCGCAGGGTCATGTTTTGAAGAAGGGATCTGGAACTGCATAGGAGGCACTTTTTGGCAGCGCTGTGCTGGAGGCATCTGGACATCTAAACAGCCAATGCCTGACGGCACTGAGTGTACTTCCGGCCTAAGCCAAAACTTTATCATCAAGACTGCGTCTTCCAAGTCCCAAAAAAACGATCATCTCAAGGATCATAGACACGGTGCCCGAAGGCACTTTTAGACACCCTATGGCTCAGATAATACAGATCTGGAGTGTGTTTACTAAAGTTCCTTTCATTCCTCTACTTTAAAGACGTCTGGTACTTCAGAATTTGGCGTTCCTGAAATGATGCCGTTAACGGGATGTATAAACTTGTTTAGACAGCTAGGTTATGCAACTTGATAATTTGCCTCATTGCTTACAGCCTTGATATATTCCATAATCTTCTTCTGCCGTTCAAGGGACTCATGGAATCAAGAAATTGATTGAGATTTTGACACTTTTGATGCTCTGTTTTACTCCCGTGACGGTCTCAAGGCGATAGATGAATACTATATTAACTACACCTCGCCTACCCCGAGGTCACCGTATGCTGGGATAAATCAACTCCCACTAATGATCGGTTAGTTAGACAGGAAACCCGCATTTTTTGTGCTTCGCATGATAAATTGGTACAGCCCGTGTATTGAAAATCAAGCATATGCATCTAAAGGGGTGGTTTCAATTTGCCTATCAGTGCATGTCTAACTCTGAATGAATCAGTTTTTATCTTGAATTGGTTTTGCTTGAGTTCATTCGCTCCGGATACATATTAGTACATATGCTTCTAGTAAGTGCTGGTACTTTGTTTTGTTTCCTCGCGCTACATATTGTATGCAAATTGCTCCTCCTTAGTTCCCCCAGAACAAAAATACTACTCATTCGCCATCGCTAAGCTCCCAATTCTTTGTTGCTGTCAGTTTTGTGGCCTACCTTGAGATCTCTGCTTTTTATTCGGCCAAAATGAATCCCCCTTAAATGTCCGAATCCTAAATTTGGCCCTTAGTGGGCGAGGGACTGTTCTGGTGGAACTCGGACAATTTTGTGATCCGCCTTAAGTTTCGTTTTCTGCAAAAGGGCGATTATCACTGTTGGAAAAGTACACGTCCAAGCTAATGCTGCGTCTATTTGGCACCATACAGAGTTTCTTCCAGTAGTTGTCATTTCAGGTGTCGATATCTTAGCAGGTCCTAGCCCGTGTCTAACGGGGCTATGCTACGGATGTGGGCCACTGGTGGCACCGATTGGTTGAAAATTACTTGGCAGGCATCACTCTATCCGTCGTGTGCATAATAGTACTGGAACACGATGCGCAATATGCAGGCTCCTGAGAGCTACGTTCAAGATTGATCAATTACTTCACTGAGGATCGTGCACATGAGGATTATACAGGAAACTAACTGACTCTTCCCTTGTAATAACAAGGGTCCATCTTCCCAGATTTACTTTGCTTTAGCTTCGTGAGAGTCTCGCACATCTGCTGATGATAAACTTGCTTTTCGGATGGGTAATTGATATCAACGAAAGCTTCCCAAGTGACTCTAGATTCAAGAAGTAGCGTGAGGCAGCAAAGTAAGAAAACTTCCTTTGTACAAAGATGACCTGCCCCGAATTCAATACCGGGCTTCACATTTAAGATTAAATTCTACTTCAAAAACTGGTTCCTGTTGAGGCAAGGTCATCCCCACTGAAACTTTAGCAGTCGTCGATACCAGCCCATGTTTCAGTTGCAAGAGCAATACTAGAGTCATTGAGGTACGACTATATCGGAACGATTTTCATGATACTATACTAAATTTCCTTACTAGTCTTGCTGTTTCAGAGGCTGATCGCAGAGTCAGAAGCCCATTTGATCAATCCAGCGGGAAAGGAGCAAGAGGGTGGCCCTTTGCGATTTGACCACTGCTTTCTAGATGCTTTTGGTGCCGCTTTTCTTGCTGGTCCCAAAGCTCTCGTATCCTTAGCATCGATAAGCGGCTGCCGCCCCAGAAACGGGGAAATTCCCATCTTGGAACCCAAGAGTAACCACCAATTAGATTTTCCTGATCATCGAGCTTCAGATTCTCCCAATAAACTTTCAACCACATGCATGGGTTGGTCTCGTAATCTTTACATGGATTGCGTGCTTCTGCAACCACCCCAACCACGTCCTTTACGTTCTCGGACGTATACCGCCACATCGGATTACCAGAGCTGTCTATATCTTCCAGGGCAGAGATTCGCTTGGTGCGATCCGAGATGCTAGCCAGAGAGTCGTTTTTATAATTCAACCGGTACTCGAATCGATACTTGGCTGCGTGATGCGGTCCACATTGGATGATCACGAACGTCGATCGGCGTAAGCTTCCCCACCCATCTACTAGATCATTGTTAGTGGTGGCTCGGTTGGATGCCGACTCTGATGCGCTATGGCTGACTGGACATAGGCTGACTAGAGACCCATTGTCAGGAGTAGCATTATCGGTGCGACCTTCTAAATGGTTGCTACGTTGGCGAGATGAGCCCGCCGCACCAAGCTCTTTTCCCATCGAAGACGGATCGGCAGAATGATTCTTCTCCGTGGCATCCCTTTCTAATTCGGAGTCGCTCATCCCCACAAGCCTCTCGCGGCCTATATCATCTGAAAGAAATGGCGAAGTCTGAAGATCTCCGGTAGCTTCAGGGCTACCTTGACGCCATGGGTCCTCACTGACTCTTTGGCCAGAATGACTACTATGACAAGAGTGCATGGCTGGGGTACTCGCAGTCTTTTCTTGATCTTCTGACTGGAGCTGGCCGTCGACTGTGTTAAACTGTGCATCGAACTTTTGGGGATCGCTTAGGTAGTAATCGCTCAGAACACTATGAAGCTCTCCAAGCATTTGATTTTCCGAAAACGAGAGCTTCCCTTTCTTCATCAATGCTCGGTACGTATCCATGCACGCTTCCGCATATTCTTCAATTCCTACATCGTCAACCTCTTCGATGTCTTGCTGCTGCTGATCACTGACGTAACTTATCCATGGCTGGGCTTCGCCGCTATCAGCGTTGTCGGGGGCTAATGAGCCTTCAGTTGCTGCCCGTTCCCCAAGTTGCAGGGCCGAGTATTCATCGATTAGGTGTTCGAAGCTGCCTTCTTTGCCGATATCACCACATGCACGTTTTTTTTCCGGAGTGAGCATTGTCGGCAAACAGAACAATGAAAGAGCAATGGGGTGAGGTGATCAGCATCTGGATAGACTCTCAATGCTATTTATATCAGCTCCGAACGACCTAACGCAGATACCAGAAATAGCACTATTGTGCTCTATTTTCAATTAATAGCTACATCGTTTGCACTGTATTGCAATCAAAAGCTGTTCGGTGAAGTTAATTCATAAGTTTGTCAATCAGAAAAGCAGATCCGCAAGCACTTGCTTGAACGTACAAACCCTGGCCTCAATGTACGACGGAACCAAATGCAGCATGTGAATCACCTTCAACTTTGATCAGCCAAAAAATGTCAGTAATGATTAGTGATTAGAAGAAGATCAGATGGCCTCATTTATGCCGCCTCTCGTAAAATGAGGGGGGGCACGTTGAGACGTGATAGCCATTACACAGGCGCTGTCTAAGGACTGCTAACTCGTAAAAATTCTTAATTCCTTATCAGCGGAGCAATAGTTCCCAAGCGTCCTTCATCATTTCGATTTAAGCCATGTTGGACGCTTCTCATCTCTCATAGCTACTCTTCGGTATTGACTGACGTCAAAGCCTTGCACTTAGCTTAAGATCAAAGTAACCGTTCTCGTCGCACTAGCGTGCTATTTTTTATGCTTAAGTCTTCAGACAGCAAATGAGTGTGGCTGCTCCGTCTTTTTGGGTCGGCGAGCTTTAGTCTGAATCGAGAATAGTCGAGTCCTCATCTTTAGTTATTGTACAAAATCAAGATATCAATTCCCGAGGCGCTCATGGGATTATCCTTGTATTTAAAAGATCCAATGCTGTATTTAAAGACTGAATTCTGAGTGAGACCACTGGCCTATAGATCTAAAACCAGACGCAACAAGAAAAAAGGTAAAGGATAGCATGAAATACTGCTAACGTCCCTACACTTGAAGTCGCCTCCTACTACAAGCACATTGGGCCGTGCTGAGAGAGATCAGCGCAGAAGTTGTGGTGGCAAAAGCTGAAGTATACGGTGAATGAAGCGAGCTTGCTTCTGGGTGAGATGAAAAAGGGAATACATGAGGCAGGGAAACTAATCGAGAAGGTGTGGTAGTTGACGTCCCGTCGCACGCACTGGCGCTCTTACCCTCCCAATGTGCAGCAGATAACATGCCAATAATATTGGGAGCGCACCGGCTAGGACCATTGGTCCAGCCCAAAAGGCGATTGGCAATGTCCGAGGCGTAGCAGTGAGTGGCAATCCCCTGACCCAAGTTACCGCTAGAGGCAACAGTACCAGAATTGTACGCCCGGGCGGCCTTGTAAAATGAAGCCACGTCTGTCGAACCGCCCTCCTGAGCTATCAATGCCTTCAGGCCGGGCCCGGCTGGGGTTCCCTCAACACCATCTAGGATCATTTGATGAATTTCGCTTTTGGGACAAGGGTTTTGAATGATTCCATCCTTATTTCATGAACCAGAGCCCTCGTGGCTTTGCATTAGTCCCGGATTGATTACACCGTTGTCAGTCGTCTGAACACGAACGCACCCTTGACTCTCTTGCATGACGATTGACAAAATGAAGCGGGCGTCGACGCCGCTCGACTTCGCCACTTGGTGAATGGCATCCTTGATGGAATCGGTCTCGTCTTGCGAGTTATTGGGGAGACTCCATTGGGAGCAGCTGACGGATATCACACCTTGATTATTCTCGAACATAGATTCAAAGGACCCAAGCCATTGGTCAATGCTGGGCCAGCCATTGGAAATCATACCATTACCACCCAATACCGCGGCATAAAGACCAGCGTTGCGCTCACGAAGGGGATTTTCGGCCTTGCCCACGAGACTAGATAGATTGGAAGAAGCATTAGACGCTTCAGCAATCAATTGGAGGCTTAGGATTGTCAGAAAGGAGGACCAAATCGCCATTTTGAGACCGAGAAAGCGGCTGGTTTGAAGAAAAGACTGAACTTGACAGAAAGAAGTCCTTTTGATGTGTAGTCCGACTGCTATGTACAGTAGTATTGGAACTTATCGAGAAAATCTAGAAAGGTTTGAGTAAAAATGTACCTCGAAGTGGGAGTGGAAAGCCTGTACTGAAGCTCAATCTGATTCCGCCACGTTGATTCAATATAGCGGAGAAAAAATGGCATCATCAGCGGCTAGATGTATAAAAAAAAGGCTCTGTGAGAAAAGATGCTTATTGTGTTGACCACTGAAAGACAGATCCCATTGATGCGCTTAGAAAGTAGCGCCAGGAATTTAGTAGCTCAAGAAACTTTTTATTGATGTCACGAATATTGCAGACGACTCACGCTTCAGAAAGAGCATATCAGTTGACAAAAGGTATCAAATCTCAATCCATATATGCCCCAAACCGTGATGCGTATTGAGCTAAGTCACTAGCTTGTTTAAATTGCTTTGAAATCCATGGAAAAAAGGTATGTGTGGTGCGGATACAGCGGTTTACTCAGTGCAGATTTAGAAGGTGCTCTGTATCACCACCTATGCGCGAGCGCTTTTTGGCTAGGAAATCATCAAGACTAAACAAACACAACATCCCCTCACCATCCCTCAAAAAGGAGCCCTCGCCAAAGCGTTCGCCTGAATATCCCAGGGACTTTTGCCCAATTCTACCAATCTTGGACCGAATTCCTTGAATAGTACTTCAATATCGAGACCCTCCTCATGAATCACTTTTTGGTACCTATCCTCTGTACCAAGGAGTGCGATTCTCCAAGTTCTTTTCCATCGTTCAATTGCGACTGTTGTTTCTCCACAACGCCCAGCATCAATAAGCTCCTGGGGCGGCAGAAACTTATTGATGCTGAGGATAAAAGAGGTTTGGGATAAGCAGGAAGAGCGTCACAAAATATACCTGGAAAGCGATGGTCAAGATAGAAAGACCTTCTCTTTCTCCTTTTCCACTAGAGTTGTCAGAAAGGCCTTGAGGTCACCGATCAGACTATGTGACTGGAAGCTGAACCGAGGATTTCAGCAGCAATGAAGTTTTTCAGATACGACTACGCCACAATGAATCTGATACTGCCCATGCGAGATTTGGTCTCGGCTAGCATAGTGTTTTCAATGCTGATAATTTTTATGTGGTAGCAACCGGACTTCCTACTCTAAACGTGATTGAGAAGCACTTATGTTTTCAAACGACCTTCAAAGACAGCGGTCGGGCTATATATTTGATTGTGCAGAGGAATTTGTTTAAATTTGTTTATAATTGAATAAAATTACTTTCATTGGATGAATCGAAGCATACTACCGAGCTCAGCAGAGATATCTTGAATATAGATTATGCACATGACTGACAATGGGCTTTGATCCAGAGGGAACATACCTGGGATCCTCTGAATGCAAGACGATACTTTGATACCTCGCGTGGCCTTATATCTTGAACCAGTCATGGCAATATTTGTATTGATTGCTTCTAAGAAAGAAAAGCTCGTTATGAGAGAAACGTGATACCCTGGAAATCCCTGTCAGGGATATACAAAAGGCATACACGCTGACGCAGAACGGGGACCCACATGGCGCATCTAGTTCCCTGAATGCGAGAAGGCATCCTTCTTTTTGCTTTCTCGCGCTACGTTTACTTATTCGAGAGTCGGCTAGAGCCTTCTGAATAGTAATTATTCTTTTGAAAGACACGATCTTCATCTAAAGATACGTGAGACCCTCAACAGCTTGCTGTGTTTTACCGAACTCCTAGGCATTGACCCCTTCTATGTTGTACGCAGAGAGCTTAAACATCTTCTAGAGAGGCTCCGTGTAATGACCGTCCATGTAATTATCTGGTGTTGGTGTGGTCCTTTATTCCGGAGGAATGAAAACGCTCTGGTCTGGTTTCCCAGGCTTTTGACTACTGGAGCCTTAGGATATCCCTTGCCGACGAAACCGTAAGTTTATATCAGGTAGCTGCTGCTCTCTGTTTTATCCTAGTGACAAACATCGATATAATTTGAAATCCCATCCATCCCTTTCTCTACTTTTACGCGCTTGATTTCGACACTTTCAAGAGGCCTGGAAAAGGGCTGGATGGGTGGAATGAAAGACAAGACGATCTTGATTAAATGGCTATATAGGTGATTTAAAGAGTGCTTGGTCATTGATGATTCCTACAGTACTGACTTTGTTGAGAAGCCCTGGTCAAAATTTGCTCAAGTTCCATTCATTGAGAGGCCTATCAACACTCAGTCCCTCTACCGGCCATCATTTGGATGATGTGGGAGTGATTCAATTGATGGGCGACGTCTAGCGCACTTTTAGCCTCCTTGTTCCTTCTCGTAAGCTCAATGCCTTTAAATCCGAGTAGCCTGTTCACAAGGGGAAGATTGCCATTGCGAACTGCGGCAATGAGATAAGTATCTCCCTTTTGGTTGTTCTGGCAATTAATGTCAAGTCGGCTGTCGTTCAAGAAAAGTGGAACTACCGACATTGAACGCGTTTGGATTGCCAACCACAGAGGATCGTCTTCCCTTTCGTCACTTGCGTTGAGCCGAATACCATCTGCCTTGAGCAGCATATCCACTACCTCATAGGCGCCTTGATAAGCAGCAGCTCCAAGAGGACTTTGTCTGCCATCTCCTTGGATATTTGGATTCACTCTGTGTAAATGTGTCGATGAAAGAATACAGGAAACCATCCGGACACTCGTGCGAAAACAGGCGATGTAGAGAGCTGTGGTTTGCCTTCGCGGATTGGTGCCACCCCTGAAATTGATATCCACTCTGCTGTCATTGAGAAAACGCTCGCTGATATCGTCCCGCCCGAGGTGTACAGACAGCCAGAAGGCAGAGTTGCCTTGGTGGTCCCTGCAATTTACATCAAGGCGTTCGCTGGATAGGAGCAAATTGACTGCACCTAGCTGATTGTAACAAGTAGCAACATGCAATGCCGTGTACCCATACCGATTTTTCGCGTAGAGATTGATGTTCCTGTGTTCTAGCAGTACGTTGATGACTTTGAGGTCACCGTAGCGCACTGCTTGTATCAATGGTGTTTCGTTGTCCACGTTAAGGATAATATTGACATCTGCACCCAGCTCCAGAAGAAGCTTCATGGTATTGGCGCTGTCAGGAGTATTGGCGTGGTTTGAAAAAAGTTCATCGAGACTCGGGCCGTTCTGAAGCATCTCAGATACGGGCACAGTCGGTCGAGAATGCAGTAACATCCTGGCTATGATTCTGTCGATGGCGTCACCCTGCATTAAAGCAACATGAATGGGCGCCACCCTTTCATAGTCCGCCACAGTAGGGTCTGCGCCACACCTAATAAGGAATTCGGCTTTCTGATAGTCCCGCGTCTTTACATAGTACCACAGCATTGTTCGACCCTGAGAATCCGATATATCGACATGTGCATTCATGCATTTCAATACATCCAAAAAGCTCTCGACATTCTCTTGAGAGAGGGCTTTCGAAAAGCGAGTACGTAATTTTATGATGCTGGACTGAGTGAAAAGTCAGTGCTGCAATCCCTTGATCCCATTCTATGTAATGTAACTTACCATTGAGAGGTTTTGTGAGGCTATCTGAGATGTGGAAGTAATCAGAGTCGAGTGAGAAGAGCGGTTGAGGATAAATGGTGAGAAAAGAGCAGGCCGCAGCTATATTTATACCACATCCCGTTGGCAAGGACTAACCTTACAAAATTTATATCGTCGTATGGAACCGCATTCAATTCCTGCGCCCTCAACGGGATACCGCTTGCGTTCTAGTACCGCTTGCGTTCTAGTACCAGCAACAAGCATTGAAGCTTCAAGGATCTCAATCCCAGATCCTAGGAGCAATCTGTTCCAATCCTGGGAAGGCCGTAAGTCCCCTCGGAGGCCCAAGCAGCTCTACCGCCCCTATTATTGCAAGATCAGGTTGTTTCAGTGACTAGGAAAATACGACCAAATTATTACGACAGCATGATTTGAGTCATGCCTAGTCGATACCTGTCACGGTGTTAGTAGCTTGTATGGGTGTTTACGCCCACTTTACATGCGAAAACAATATTATGGAATCTAAGCACGCGCTGAACCATTAACCAGAGTTAAAAAATGTGGTCAACTTCCTCTTTCGGAACTCGACACAATTGTCTGCCGTCATCCTCGTCTTGTCAATGCAATATCCACACCAATCTCCTGGGAACGAAGTGGATGCGAGAAAGGGAGTACTACAATAAGCAGATATGACTCAAATAGTGCCACGGATTACAATACACACACATACACGAGTCTTCAGTTAAATTATTGGCCGATATCAGGCAATGGTTCCCAGGAGCATGTGGGTCGTCCAAATCATAGCATCATTGGATGCTATTAATGCTAGATCAGGTTTGCCAATGAAAATGGGCCAACCGGGTCCATGCATGCCCCACTATATAGCCTTGGTAAACATGATTGGCGCTGGCCTGGCTGTGAACTTATTGAGTCCTGGGAATGACAGAGCTCGTTACCATACCATTGCACGTTATGGACGACACCCGGCCCAAAGCGAGGTCATGGGCGAAGAACATATAAATACATGCGCCTCGTCCTGATTTATCATGTTCTATACGTGGAAAATCAACCGAGCCATCTCTAAAACTGAGTGATCTTATCTTTGTCATCAAGATTCAAGCGTCGGTGATTTTATTCGGAGATGTCAATCGAATTTACTTCGAATAACCACTACCTCCAGGTGGGAACCAATCGTGGCAACATCCATGTCTTTACCGAACCAAGATCAGCCAGTCATTCTGAAGACACTCTTCATATGGCTATGCTCCCAACCAGCAATGTCTATTCTTTTGAAGATATCGGTTACTTGGACAACTTTCCCCCAATCAGTTTCTTCTCCCTGGTCATATACCCTGATAGAATATTGTGTTTCTCAACGAGCACGTCCTTGATATTACTCAAGCCCTGGAGGTATAAGAAGGAAAACGAGAAGTTACATATTATATCAGGCAATGATAGTATTGAATAGTATCAAGGAACAATTCACATAGCCTCAATTGAACCTTGAAACTACCCTCACTCATGTGAGATATCCTTGTGTATTGACAGTAAATACTATTTCCATTGAATGCCTGAATATCGACACCGACGGCCTCAGCCTTTCTAACAATAGCCCTTGCCTTCTGCGCAACAGGCACATCAATCATCTTACCATCCAGAGTCCAAGCTCCGCGCCCCGCGGCAGCAGCTTTATCATCAGCAATCGCACACCGCACCGCCCACGTCGTCTCCTCCTCCTGTGGACCAAATGTATCGTTCGCAACACTCACCTGCGACGGGTGAATACACTGCTTGCCATTGAATCCAAGTCGGTGTCCATGAAGACACTCCTCCTGCAGCACAGCCGGCGGCGACCCATCTCTTTTCTCAGACTTGTATGTTGTGCAGACGAGATCGATTGTCGAGGGGAGGTTGGCTGCGCGTGCTGCAGTAGCGATTGCCGAGCGCGCGAAAAGGAATTCCAGGTACTACCTCATTTCAACTTCATTCTTAATAAATACAGTACTTTTTTTTAAACCACCAGTTCTAGCCGGGGCCTCGTTAGAAACCCTTTTCGGCTGTTTGTCTTACTCCGATTGATTCTTCCATGAATATTATGGTATACTTTGGCCTAGTCTACTCAGAATTCTTGTGTTTTGAATATGCCCGCAAAGGCTACACCTAAATCGCAGTGGCCAGTGCGTAATGCCGTTCCTATCTCGGGTTCAAGGAGAGGAGACGTGGGTACGTTGTGGACATAATTGTATCAGCCCTATCCAATTATGGTAGGTGTTATGGTAGGCTCAGGCTCCCAGGAGCTCACAGCCAAATTTATGCCAATTATTTCTACGGGGGCTTTGTGGCAGACGTGGATCATTCATAGCACCGATTGGCTCATTCTTCCTCCGATCTATTATCAGTATCCAATGATCGCATCAATATAAACGACCCACAGGCTCCTGGGAGCCATGGCCAAATATCCACCAATCATTTCATAGTCGACTTGCACGCATGTGAGCCATTGATGGCACTAATTGGCTTATATTTCCTTGTTGTAGTACCCACTTTCCCCCATGCGCTTCGTTCCCAGGAGATTGATGTGGATAATGCCTTTGCAAAGACGGGGCTGATCGCAGAGGTTTGTTCTACGAAAACGTAATCGACCTAATATCTGACCCACTATACAAGGGACTCTGTTGTAATGGGGTTGTGTGAATCAGTCCCGCGCTGTACTATAGCTTGCATCTGCTTGGTATTGTGTAGGTGTGCTTCCTTTTCTCCGATATACGAGGTAGGCAGTGAATAACCCTGCAGTTTGGCTGGTAGAGATCCAGGGCCGCAATATGGCATGGTATTTGCCTGTCTTTGATGAGGTATTCATTGGGTAGGGTGTCGTGCTCATATTGGTGGGTGAAATGAAATGGTGTGATATGTCGCCGCCTCACCTGTTGCAATAATGTACGAGCCCATGGTGGTAAATGTTGAAACGGGTCATCGATGCTTTTCTGCGGCATGCTCACCACTGTTTAAACGGTGCCAACAGTGATAAAAGGAATTGCATATATCGAGTCGCCAGGAAAAATGCGATGTCTTCGAAATGTTGTGTTCAAATGGTGTGTCAGATAAATAACCATGTGTTTAACTGGCTGCAATTTAAGAGTAGTTTGTGTTTAAGCCCTCACAATTGATGATGATGATCTCATTCACGCAGACTGAATGCCTGGCCGAAATGCTATAAATACCAGACTCGTCACCAGCAGAACCGCCGTTCGCAAGCATTCCTTTGTGATTTGGATCAAAGAAAGTCGATCATGATTCGTCTCCGCGGCTACTCTTTGGTATGGATTGACCTCCAAATCATACAATGAAATAAACTGACCTTTTTTATCGCAATGGCCTGGCCTTTCTCAATAACGAAGTCTTCAGACAGCAAGTGAGTGTCATTTCCCAGTCATTTAGAGCGTTGCTAAATCGGAAGACGCTCGATATCAGCCCCGTTTCCGCTACTCCTCAAATAACCCATTGAGCGAACATTTCTGGATCCCGAATAGCCCAAGCTGCGAGCACAGTGAGTTACAAGTTGCCTTCCTGAGCTACCTACTGATGATTGATGATAAATAGATGCCATCTTTTATACAGTCTCCTGCAACGGACAACATTATCCGAGAACGTGAGTTTCGAACTTTGCAGCAAATTTCAAAGCAGATGTCATGTGCTGACAACCCTCTATATAGGTTGGCAAACTTTCTATCGCGGGTCACTTGATGTCTTGTAAGTCATGCTATTGCTTTGCCCCTGCCCATTCCCAACAGTCAGTACTACTTTTCATCTCCGTACGAATGCTATCCGTTGGTGGCTCTTTGTTCTTCAGAAATTAACTGATTGTTCTTCTTCTTCATAGGACGCATGTCAATACTACGGCCGACCTGACAGAGATATATCCCCCTCCCTCGTCTTCAAACTAGACCAGCTTGAACAACTGATGGGCCAAGCCATCAGTTATACTACGCCTGCGGCTTTGTTGTTTCTGAAGTCGTGGTTAAAAGGCCAACTCGCCTGGCGCATCTGCTTAGTCATACGGTAAGTCTCCAAGGTGTTTTCGTCTCGTCGACATTACCCTTTCCGATTGAGGGCCATTTATCAGTTTATTAAGAACTTTTTCATATTCCGACAGCTTTTAATCTCTTGCCGACCTCCGATTCGGAGCCTCGTCGGCAGCCATAGCCCGGTTCCATGCTAGGCTGAGTGAGCCATCGCAGCAATCGACGACATCGAAGAGAAGTCCAGCATCGACGGCCACCGAAAAAGATCATGGTCTCTCCAGGTATAACATAATCCAGCAATGAATCGGGCTTTAGGCCACAGGCTGAGGGCCGGCTCTACCAAGCCCTGATTGCAGCTCAGCAACCGACAAGCCAGGTCGCGGCAGTGGATCTATCCCATGTCTCTCCCCATGAGAACAGACGCTTTCAGGTCAGCTACTACTTCATTCAACCCAAAACCCATGATCCTCTCCTTCAGTGGAACATTGTCCTGACAGGTCTGAAGATTTACCTCCCACACGAAAACCAAAGACGAAACAGCTATGCATTGGCAGAACTTGCCAACATTCATTTGCAGCGATACGGAGTGATCCTGGGCCCTCCAGATGTAATCGAACTGAGCCCGCTACATCTCTGGTTGGCTTTCGCTGATCCCAAACTACATCAACGGCAAGTCTGTACCACCCTTAGCCACCAGAAGACTTGCTGATATGGAGAAGTAGTGAAACGTAGCACTGCTTCGGCTGTTCCTACAAGTCCGATCGAGATAGTGTATTGCGGCTAGTATTGGGATTCTCTCTAGGCCACGAGCACGGTCAGTGGCGGCCAGTTGCGAACACCCATCTTGCGCCAGTTGCTGACAATTGGTGCTAGATCGAGTATCACCAACGGCAATCTGTTTGTCTGTGGTCAATGCAGATGGTATTCAAAGCATCCCCGTGGCCTATATCTTGAATAAGGGAAAGAGTACGTTTTCAAGACTGGAGGTTGGGGATAACTGACCTTTTTGCCAAACCGCTGATATGAAGACAATTTTTCCCTCCCAAAGGTGGCTGCAAGCCAGTCGAATGCTCTCCCCATGATGTCATCCCGAACGGCACGAATTCACCAGCGGACGAGCGTCGTGAATTACGGTCGTGAATTACGGCCGTTCGATTGCCGCAGCGGATGCAATTGCTCAATTATTACTCGAAGGATGCCAGGTGGGTTTGAGATAACTGGTAGAAAAGTCGTACTTATTGACCTCGGACGTAGCTGACGTAGCTGTGATGTTCTGCCATTGTGGGTCTGTCACTTGTGCCCGACGCGAGACGCTGCGACGCGTCAGTGCACGGCCTTGTCGCCACCGCCGGGTGCTGCCTTAGGTCGGTATTCCAGAGAGCGTTTCATATCACGAGTCCCAAGAGAAAAAAGAAAAAACACGCGAGACGAACCGGAAACCAGCGGGTTGTATACACGATGCATGAGCGAGAATCGTCTTTCTGATGAATTGTCATCCAGATGCGCCCTGCGGGAATCGAACCCGGTTCGTTAAGGAAGCTAACGTGGCATATTCGACTAGACCACGCGAGCAGATGCGCTGGCGTCGCGAGGTTTGCCTCACTATATCCAGCAACTTCTTAGAATATCATAGCCACCATTAGTCTCGACCAGTACTCAGCTACATTACCCCTTCGAGCTCCACAGCAGTCTCTCATTTGGCCATATAATGGAATATGATATTCGAAAAGAGGGCCAGAACACCCCTGAATCGCTGACAGTCTGATGGTTTTTCCAATTCTACTGCTACCATGTACGTGCGCGGCTGAGGATATATATTGCGCAATATTGGATGACCATTTATCGACATTACCCAAGAGCTGTGTACAGAGAAATTCGAAAAACAGTTTCCCCTCTGGACACACACATGTTGTTTCTCGGGTTTTACCTGTTACTAAGCTAAACCGGAATAGGATATACCTTCGAGATGATAGCCAATCATTGCTAGGATAGTTTATGGCTAGATCATTCCATTGTAAAAATCGTTTTAATTACTTTCTGTGAGAGAAAGCCCGAGTCGCCGCAGGGGAACTTGTTTTCGAATATTAGTGTATCGCCAAAGAGTATGCGACGAAGCTCAAGCCACGTAGAAGAGCGACCCGAGTGAAATAATGATTCAGTCTATCGTCAATAGATGTACATAATGTACCCTTTAACATATTTTTGAAGTGGTCACCAATGTTGATTGCACCACGCGCCTCCAAGCCCATAGTCGAGTTTTTCTGAAAAGCTATCCGCAGATAATTACATTGCGATCTGGTGTAATGACAGATTCCAGTTAATGAACTGCATCATGTTTCACCGTCTATCATCTATTATGTACATCATTGGTGAGCCAACGAAGATCCAACTGTAAGGGCGATGGGTAGTCACCGTTGGCAGCCACCTCACCGCTCGGCAGTTACGCCGCGCCGCAAATCAACATGTTGACTCACTGGTTCCCATCGATCATGATCATTACCAATCCTCAACCGTCACTCATCTCCGGCCCTCATCTCCAGCCCTCGCCATCAACGCGTCCTCACCATCAATGTGTCCTCAACATCAACACGCCTTCATCAGCACGCCTTCATCAGCACGCCAACACTTCCCACTCAGTGTCGACAACCCGCATCTCACCACGTCGAGACAACCTTTGCTACCACTGGTAGCCAGCAAAGACAAGCATTCGCACAAATGGAGACTACTTTGGATTGCGTGCGTCGCCCAGATCGGCCACTAAGCTATCATACACTGAGATCCCCACTGGCCCGATGACTCAGTGCTCTACTTCGCACTACGTTGAAGAAAGGCCCATTGTCGAAAGACAGGGCGTGATTCAAGGCTCCAGAACAACTTGACGCGAACCAGTAACATGGCTATTGAAATCTACAAACAGGCTGAAAGGCAGGACACAAAGTATACTGGATGATTCTTGATTCTATTGATTTTGGAGCAGGTCTTGGCTTCTTCGAGGACTCCCCCGAATACTAGTCTCTGACACCACGAAGAGGTGCCTGCAATCGCCAGAGGATCAGGACGAGGACC